GGGGGGGATGAAAATCCAGAGGGGCAGGAGTGATGAGGGCAAGGGTTTGGGCTTAAATTCACGTCACAGTATGGATCAGGCATTTTTTTTCGAAGTAGAACATCTCCAAGTTTTAATTGTAGCTGGTGGTAGTCAATGTCCTGGTACACTGAACAGTCGCCTAGCATGTTGTAAAGTTGTGGCTGATTTAGTGAAAAAATAATCGATAATGCAGAATTCATACTGTACTGAAGAGTAGCAAGCTCTTGTAAATAATGGCCCTTTCTCTGACATCTTCAAGAGAAAATCAGGAACTACTGAGATACAGAAGTCTATATGCATTTCTGTAATGGAACCTTAAATATAAGTAATATAGTGCCACAATGTCACATGAACGTCTTAAACTTCTGAATCTTTGTAAACATGTAGAAAGCTTTCATCATTTGATGTTTACATCCCCCTTTTTTTGGTATAGAGGCAGTCATTGGGGAATTCTGTAGTTAAACTAGAATGTGCAGTTAAACTTTTTACAAACGCCACCTTTAATCTAGTTTTCCCCTTCTCATGTTTTAAAGTTGGTCAGTGAGATCTTACAGAGCTGTGTTGCAGCAAAAGAATACTATACAAAAAATTGGTGTGAGGGGGATTGTAACAAAAATGGTTAATTACTTTGGATTTTAAAAAATTAATTACCTTTATGCAGTGTCTTCTACATGGGTTTGTGAGATGCTTCATGCCATTAGATTAAGAGTTCTTAAGGCTATCAAGAAAATATTTTTGGTCCTTGTAGCATTTAATACTTTTAAACAGCATTACCGTGATATGTAAGTTTGTATGTGAGGTACAAACATAATTCCAGGATCACTAATGTGGTAAAACTGAGGTACATATTGTCTTAACCAAGACTGCGCTACAGGATGAATTTAGCTGCTTCTCTAATCAGCAGAACGAAGAATGATTTCTTTAAGTCTGTAACAGACATTTTTTTATCTACTTGCAAATAAGCTGTTAAGCATGTAGGTTGTTTTCAAGCAGAAGTTTGGACAGGACTGTGTAAAAACAGCACCTCTCCTGGATGAGTTTTTGCAATCTAAAGTATTATAGAAAATTTAAAAATATATATAAAGAAGTTATATTACTTTCTTAATTACTTTGAGAGGAAGTTTGGTTGGAGAATAAATCCAACTTCATTCAGTGATAGACCTGAATGGATTGTTTTTCTGGAGAAAATCTCTTATTTTACGTGTTTGGTTTTCCAAAGTAAAGTAATAGGTTTTCCAGTGTAATATGATCTAGATGATTCAGTTTCTCAGCCTTTGTGTCCTTACTTTATTTCACTTGTCATGTGAGCCGCTTACCTTATTAATTATTTGCTTTAATTAAAATGTCTTATAGCTCAGGAAATTGGAATACAATATAAATAGCGATCTCTATAATTTTTCTTAAATTGATACATGGCAGAACATGTGTAAAATTATGCAAGACTTAATGAACTGAAGTCATGTGTGATTGGTTATACTCAATACTGACAGACTGCTTAAATTTTAATGATTGATTGTCTTCTCTCAAACAACTTGAGTGAATTGCAGTGTCACCTGCAGCTATTCAAAATCAAATTTAGCTAGTTTTCTTATTTAAGCTATATTAGATATGTAACTTATCTCTCATGATCACTGTACTCAGAGTTGATTTCTTGCACATGTTCTTCGTGTTATCAACTTTCCCTCTGTATGTAATTTTTTTTTGAGAATTAAAGGAAAGGGATTCTGTTTCTAGTTAGGCATAACAGACTGAACAGCTTACTAGATTCCAGTGGCTGAGCATCAATATAAACTTGCAAAACTTGTATAAATCTCACATCTTAACAAAATTGTGACCTTTGCCAATGGTAGAATACAGTCAGTGTGTTGTTGCAGGTGATAGTAAATACCAGCCTAAGAACCTTGCTTGTCTTCCTGGGTTTTATGTTGCAAGCTTAGCCATCTGTGCAGGCAGGGTTGTTTTGGCAATGGAAGCTTATGCTAGACTGTATTCCCAGTCTTGGTTAGATTTTTGGAGAGGTGAAGACCTGGACACCATCAAAAGAGGGAGGTTTCTCTTTGCTTTAGAAGAACTTGTAAAAGAAATGTTTTCTGAAAGCCTACTTCAGTTTCTTTAAGGTGCAACATCCATCTCCTTTCAAACCAATTAATGCATGCCAAACCTATTTTATTTTCAGGTATGTCAGAACACAGCAGTGAATCCACAACACTTGATGAGTCTCATCCAGCTGCAGAAGAGGTCCAGTCTGACTCTGAGGTGATTGGGTGATAGTTATATTAGTGTAAAATCAACCAATCCCAGCAACAGTTTCAGACTGCCAAATATTCTGATATACATAGCACAGTGAAAGTAGTATGGGGATACGAGTTCATGCACATTATCTTGAACGGGTGGGGTTGGTTTTGAGACACTATTAAGAACAATCCAGTTAATTCATAGGAAAGGATTACTTCAGTAGTCTATTGCTGTGCTGTGGTATTTTTTTGTAAGTTGAATAGATTTAGGTGTGGTAGAGTCAGAAATGTGTAAGTCCTGCAGGAACAAAGGGTTGGTATTTAACAGGCAGCAATCTTTGTATAACCTCACTATAACAAGGTATTCTACCTGCTGATGGAGTGGTGAATCTTTTTTTTCTTGGGAGCAGATACACTTTGTACCTTTGTGGAGAAGTCTGACTTCTAAAATTATGAACAAGTTCCTAAGGTTCCCAGTCATATTTAGCCAATTAAATTTATTGTAAGTCTGTAAAGAGTAAATAATTCCCTGACTGTTCTAGAGTAAGAATGGAAAAAAGTGCTGCTGACTTTATCACAATTAGAGATTCAGTGCCAGTGAATTGTTTTTAAACTTCTAATAAAAATGTAATAGTGATTCCACAGGTATTTAGCGTATCTCAAAATTTGCTCTTTGTAAACAGAGATGTGTGAAGAAAATTGTGATTAATATGATGAATATATTTTTATCTAAATGAAATGTCCGGTTGAAACTTCATTATTTTCTGTAGTTCTGATGTCATTCATGCCTAATACATCAATTCAAATTTAAGAACTACTTTAGATTTACTTTAGGCTCTTACAACATATGATCAATTTTCTTCTGAGGATTCAGTTTCTTTATATACTTAGTTTAAATCAACAGTGGGCTACATTTGCCAAAGGAACACTTAATTCAGCAATCATACTCACTGCTTCTACAGAAATACTGTTGTGGTTTGGTGGTCTAGTTTTCTCTCAGATCAGTAAGCTTACCATGATTGCATGAGGGAATGTGCATGCAGAGGTAAAGAGAAATGACTGCTGGTTTTGGTAGTAGCCTACAGTTCAAGTATTTTGAGACACTGCACTGCTGAAGTAAGCTGATGCTGTGGCCAAGAGCCTGTGGTCCTTCATTCTCAGTAGTTTCTTACTGCATTATTACCCACTCTGTTTCATAGGCACAAGTGTTGGGGCTGTGTGATGAACTGTTCTGGAGAACTGATTTGAGTGGAAAAATTACCCATCCCCTTTTTGGGCATAGGTCACCTTCTTTTAACCTGCAGCGTTTCTGCAATCTTGTTTGCTGTACAAATACATTGTTCTGGTCCAGGGAAGAGGTGGGGGGATGGGGAGGGTTGATGGGGGTGAAGAGTTAGGGGTAAAGGGCAGAAAAATGGTCAAGGACTTGTTCTTGGCAGCAATGCTATTTTAGACTGTTTACTAAAATGCAGGTGGTGATTTCTTGTTATGGCTGAGCCAAATTAGCAGTTTATCCCACTTCCCTTTTTTCAGCTGCTCATTTTGTGTCTTTGGTGGTTATCTGACCTCATTGCAAACTATATCAACTCACTGAAACTGTGGAAAATTAACTCAGAGAAAAGGTCTATCTATTGCCAGACTTGTGAGTTGAGTGTTTGCAGTCAGGTGAATGGTTGGGAGATGGAACACTGTGAGGCTCACAAGGAGGACTGGAAAAGCAGAGTGATGAAACATCCTCCTTTCAGCAATGGAAAATGGTGTTTTAGTTCAGATGTAACATGAAGCTGATGTTAGCAAGTATTTTTTTGCTTTCTCTGAACTTGATACATGGCTCTGGCTCAATCAAGTAGGAATACCTAAAAAATACAGGAATTGCAAATTGCTTCTAGGTCACCTTAGATTTGTCCAGAGAAGCTGGTGAATTTTTGTTTTCCAATATATGTATTTACTAGACACATATATGCATATGCATGCACTTGTATATCTCTGAATAAATGCATAAACGTGTATCAGTATACAGTATTACCAAAATTATTTGGGATTCTTGATGAAAAACAACCAAGCCAAGTATTTATTTCACCTTTAATTAAATTTGGAGATACAGTTTGGTTTGTGATCCCTGCCAAATGACCTGTATCCCCTGACAGTACAGGACTTCTTGATGCTGTGTTTTCTGACAATTTGCAGAAAGAACAGCAAAAATAGCTATGTTAGCCTATACTAATGTTTTGGTATTGTGCATGTAGCTGTGACAGGCCAAGCATTTTGAAAAATATATCGCTTTACCATGTTGAGTGGGAGTATAGTTCCTAGCGGTCTTGGAGTTTAAGCAGATGTGATATTTAGAGCAAGTTTAAGAAGCTTGAGCTATTGGACAGATTTCCTAAATTAAATTCTAATGTGGCAGGTAACTAGAACATTTGATCAAATGGTGTTGTACAGCAGCTCCCTGTGAGGATCAGGGAGTTGGACTCAAACCTTATGGGTCCCTTCCAACTTGAGATATTCTATGAAATGAAACACATTACTGTGTTGAAAGTACTTGTAAAATAAACACAGACGTTTTGGTGTTCCTCAATATTTTCATTTTCTTAAAGGCTATGAGTTTTGAGTTTGTTCTGCTGTATGAAGTATGACCCCAAAAAAAGCTGTTCTGTATTCTAGTTGTGGGTGAAGACTGGGCTATGTGGAGACTTCAGTATGTTAGGCCAATGTGAATATATGACATGTGAGCTATTCCTTCCTAGTGCTGAAAGGAGGCACTTACTGGATCCTAAATGAGAGGGATTGATGGGGTAGGTTAGTGTGTTATAAATTTAAGAAAAAGTGCCTTTATAGCACACTGACTTTTTCGTAAATGATTTGAACTATGTTCTCTGTGTATTTCAAATTTTTTCAAAAGCTGTGTCTAAATGTTTAGCTTCTCATTTAGGGAAGTGCTTCATAAAGCACTATTTTTGAATGAGTAGCTTTCAATTCAGTTTTGAGAAGTTAGTGGCAGAGAAAGTCTTGGTCCTCAAAAGGAGAAAACATCCCCTCAGATGGTACTTTGTGCATCCACAGATTGTAGTTCATGTGTATGGTTCTTAGATGGCTTGGCCTTGGCCTTTTTTTCTCTGTGTGGGTAAAAGGCAGCATTTAATCAGAACTTGATGGACTTCTGGTAGTGTTTTAATGCTGCTAATTGAAGAAGCTTATTATAATTTCAGAAATGGAAATCAGATTTTGTAGATACCAAATAAAGTTCGAGTAGTGAGCTCTGCTTCAAAAGACCAGTAGAGGTGAAGTCTCAGTAATTTAGAATCTTTGGAAGAAGTCACGGTAATACAGCTTCAAAAGCCATCTGGAGTTAGAGGAGCATGCCTGTGTTTATTGGAGCCCACAGGCTAGTTAGAAAAAAAGCTTGAGAAGCCTCAGAGCTTACTAAGGAAATCAAGCTTACTAATGTAAATGAAGGGGTGATAGGTGAAAGTGGGGGAAATTTTAGTAATGGGATATGACAGAAGACATTGACAATTCAGAATGATGCAGGTGATCCTGAGTAAGTACCAGTATTATCTTTGTGTTCTATGGATATCCTGTAAAAGCTTCATGTGTAGTTGGAAAAGCTGCTGTGGTACTTCAGCCTAATCTCAGACCGGGACTCTTCCTGACCCTTTGACTGAAAAGAGCTGGTTCAGTTTGATTTAGGAGCTTTAAGAGAAGAAAGCACCTATTCTCAAGTACCCATTCATTGATAGTGTACCATGTCTTGTCAGTCTTGCACAGATGAATGGTCTGGTTTGAAGTCTTCTGACAACTTTTATGTAAGTAATTGAACAAACACTGCTTCAGTTGTGTGTTGGTTTTCGTACTGTGTACACTTTAGTTGACTAATGAAGCTGCCTTGGGTAGCTTTTTGAGTTTCTTTTAGTTTTGGAGAATGTTAGGGTGCCATTCCCTCTTCAGATGCTTGTAAACAGCGTGCATTTCTTCTGGGTTATACTTTAGGCCATTATTGAAAGCAGTGGTTTCACAGCTGCTGCTGCTGTTCATAATGCAGCTGCATTTTGAAGCTGACTTTGTTTCTTGAATTGCATTGGTGCTTTTAAGTTCTTTTTGCTGCATTTCACTTCAGATTTACTGCTGACTGAATGAGTTGCATACCAACAGTTTGGTCAGAAGGTGGCACTATATTATGATAAAATAGAAGCAAGTTAAACTATTTTAAAGTTAGGAATCATTACTTTTCTTTTTGTAACATGATTAAACTCATTGCACTTTTCCAACATTTCTTACTTATCATTAGAACAATTTTTTTAGTCAAGCTCACTTTTTTTTATAGTTTGAGCTACATAAATTAAGGGTCAAGTATGCATAGAAAATACTTGTCTGGCCCCACATGTCTCATTTGTGTCTATATAAATGGGTGAAATTTTAGTCTTTCTTTTCTCTTAGATCTTGAAGCTTTAAATTTCTTCTTTCTGAGCTGTGCTAGCATATTAATGCAATTTGGGTATGTGATTAAATGGATTTATACAGACGTCGTATATCAGAAAATTACCAATAGGAGTTTGAAATAAAATCAACTGTTGTGAAACCTATACATGAAGTATTTTCATATAAATCACTCATAGGAAATTTTAGACAATGCCCACCTTTTTCTTCTTATGCTATAGGAAGGTGCAATGGCTCAAGAGTCTCCCAAAAATTCAGCAGCAGAAATTCCTGTGACTAGCAATGGACAGCTAGAAGATTCTCATGAGCACAGCTTTAACAGGGTAAGACATTTTTTTGCAGTCTAACCATTATCAGAAATGCTGAAGTTACAATGCAATGCACAGCAGACTTCACTTGACATAGTTTTCTAGACCATTAATGGAAAAACTCCTTTGAAGCTCAGAAATTATTGTTAAAAGTTGACATAGCATAATGTGATTGCACATTGCAATCATCTTTTTTATATAAAAAGCATGTTAGTAGTGACAGATATTTCTGAGCATGAAATAGTGTAAAGAATTGGGTGCTCTGTAATACACAAATGTATATGCTTCTATGTTCTTGTCTTTGATCTTTGAGGATACTGACTTTAATCCAACAATTTTATTCATAAAACAAGATAACAAGCATGTTCAAAATATACTTAATAGGTCCTCTGAATTCAAGCTAACAAATCCTAAATTTTTTGTGAGGTGACATATTGTTCGAGGCAAGATACTTCTGAGGGGGATTAAGTTTGGAGGCAACATGCCTAAAAGTAAAGATAGTCACATTTTGATTTGAAATTGTAAACAGGACAGGAGTAACTTTCCTTGTGTTGAAACTGAAAAATTACTACTGTATTGCTGTCTGCTATATAGATGAAATATATCAAAACTCATTTGTTGTATGTTGAGAAAGTTATACTTCCATAATCATCTGTATGCAATCTTGACTTTTTTTTCCCTTAACCTTGACATATTTTACTCAGTTCTTCTTGTTTGGCTGTCCAGCAGAGGGTGCTATGGTATAAATTTATGGAATTTGGGATTGATGTTCTTTACGTTTTATTTTGATTTTCAATTGGAAATATGAAGACTAGTTAATTATCCACATTTATTTGGTATCTATTGAGACTTTTAAGGAAATATCTAAGCTTTAACAGTCCCATGCTGTCTTGTAGTGCAGGATAATTTCTAAAAGAAATACTGAGCAGAACTTCAAAATTTTATTATTCCCTACTAAAATGCTGATTAGAGGGGGGAACCTTCATGAGTTTAAAAACAAATTACATAAATATCCTGAATACTAGTAAAATAATCATCTGCCTAATTTTGTATTCTGGTTTGCTTTAATGGGAAAAACTCCTTCAAAGCTGATAAATTGTGTTAAGTTGACTAAAATAACCAAAGCAGATATTGTACACAGCGATAACTTTTTAATATGAAAGGTATATTAATAGTAGCAAATTTTTTCTGAATGTTAAATAGGTTGAGGTATTGGGTGCTCTGTAATGCACAGTCAAGTGTATACATTTCTAATTCTTGAGTCTAAGCCTTGAGGATACTGATTTTTAATCCAGCAACTTTATTCATAAAATGAGAAAACAACATTTAAATATATATATTAAAATATAGTTTTAAACATGTGTTTGTTATATTATAATTATAAATAAAAAGGTTATTTAAATATGCTAAAAATGTGTTACAATATTGAAAATTAAAATACATCCTGCAAACAACATGTGAGACCATTTGACTATGATTGCAGAGTATAGTGAGCATGGCTGTAAAAAAAATTATAAAACTTCATGAGATGGAAATGCATCCATGTTAGAGCTGTTATTAAAAAATACGGGGCTTATTACTGGGCATTTTCTTCTACTTCCCCTGAACAGGCCATGACTTTTTTGGAGTAGCACTGCAATGAGGGGAGGCTTCGTAAGATTTGTCATTCAACTAAAATTTACCAGTAATGTAATGTAAAAATCACAACAGTGTTTAATGAAATAAAGGTAAAAGTAAATTTTGATAAAGATGTACCTATGTTTAGGAGGAACAATAAATATACACCTTGAAGTGGTAATGAACTTGGGTTTAACTGGAAGCAGAGAAACAGATTTACTATTTTTAAGCCTCATAAATTTGATGCTGCTGTGACTTGATTGCTGTCCAAGTTATCTTTTCCTCACATAGTAATTGCTTCTTCAGTATAGTGTATCCAGTACTTAGTTACAGTAAACAGAACTTGCACTCCTGTTGACTGGGTCAGAGCCCTCGTTCAGTCAAAATATAATCACCATTTTCTATGGAAAGTTGAAATGTTAAGGTGATTTTTGTCTATGGTCACATAGAAGAGTTGAAGTAGGTTTTTTTCTGGCATGCTAATTTTTTTGCTGGCTTGGAGTCAACTATATTTCAAAACTTCCACAAAAATGGGTCAATGCGAGCACAGTTGAGTTTGCTGCTGTAATTATTTTCACAGTGCTTATTCTGAGATCAATGGAGTGAACTTCAAATATTTTTTTGAACTGTCTTGTACAAGTTAACACCTGCATGTGTGACCTAAAGTCAGAATATGTGATAATCAGGACTTATAAACAAAACAAAGAAAACAAGCTTCTTGGAATTAACATCTAGGTCTGTTTACTAATCTGTTAGTCTCAAATTCTAATATTTAGCTTCTATTCATCTTGCTGTGTGTTTGTTATTTCTAATGCTTAATGCTATACTTTCTCTTTTTTTCCTTGCCAGGTAATTTTTTGTTTAAAGCAATATGCATTGCACCACAATTTCTTTGCCAGGTTTTCAGGGGTCTTTTTTCCTATTGACTCACAGAAATGACAGGCCAAGTTCTGAATTTTAGGGGGTTGCTTTAGAAAGGGGCAAGAGACCACTACCACTTTAAGTTGTACTGTTAGCGCAGTGCTCAGTAAGAGTATGTGAGCACAGTAATGTTTAGAGCACTCAAATTCCAATATAGTGATTTCACTTACACCTTCTTGGGAAGCTGGGGAATAAGGTTATTTCAGTTTCTTGTTTTCTTATTGTTACTATTCGGGAGTCATTCATGTTGTACAATTCAGATGTAAACAATAAAAGATAATGTATTCTGCATTTTTTGTTTGGTCTTCTGCAGGTATTTTACAAGAAACACTTGAGCAGCTTTGATTGTATGTTTTTGGTAGACTCAGTAAGGGGTAGTTGTACAACCTTTTCTTCAGGGTTCTTTAATTACAAAACTAAACTTTCCTCAAGGCTCGTGTTCTATTTAGCACTTCCATCAGACCTCATCCATAAGCTGCTCAGGCATGAAAATGCACATTTATTTTCCGCCAAATGCAGTATTTGTATGTACTCAAGCATGAGAAGCATTTCATTTTGCAAGGCAATGCAGTGCAAATATATTTACCTGGAAATAGCAAGTAGGACTGCTTCTGCTTTGAAGAAAAATGCCATTAGTTTTGCAGAACATCAGACAACATAGATTACCATAATGTCATTTCAGAAGGAAGTATATTAGTTCCAGTCTTGTGGGAATGTGATATAGCAATACTTGATGCATCTTGGTTCCTTATGTTAAAAAAAAAATGAATCAAAATTCTAATGCTGTCCTGATTGTAATAATAAGAGATGCCTGTGGAATTCTGACAAGTTTTGTCTTGCCTGTATGATGGATGGAAACTTTTTTTAACTAAAAAAGGCTGTAGCTTCAGTCATTGTTGGATGAAATGTCTAATATCCTTTCATCATGAAAAAACTTGACCCAGTGTTTTTGAGCTGTCCAAGCCCTGTTGGAACTCAAGATTTAAAAACTTGGTGTATGGAACTGTTTCCCAATGCTGGGTACTTGTTAGTCCATCTTAGTAACAGAGGACTCCAGCATTTCCTAATCAAATGTATTTTTCTTACTACTTTGTACAAGAAAACTTAGCATACAAAAAAGTCTTGCTGGTTTATGTTCTTCACTGATTTATTTCATTCATCCCTGACTTCTAGAACACAGTTGTCCTCACATGCTATTATAATTATGTGATTGGAGTAGTGGTGTTTTAATATCACTAAAGGGATTGGGAGCTGCAGGCTGTGGGAAGGAGTGAGGAGGTTCCTAATTCAGTAATGTGCCATATAGTGTGAAAGCTGCATAGGAATAAATCAAAAAACCTGTAAAGGTAGCCAGGCAGCTGTAAGCTATTTGTTAGTTTTAAACTATTGTAAAAAAATCTGCGTGAAGTTCTTACCAGTTTGAGTGTCTGAAATTGTTGTTCCAATTGTTTCCTTTCATTATCAGTATAGACTCTCTCCTCCTCTGTCTTTTTCTACTCTTATGGGGACAAAACTGTTCTTAAACATGTGTCTATAATACCAGTAATAAACTATAGGCTGCAAAAGAAAAGTGATAAATTAATTTTTCTTGTGAGTCTTCAATTTATGTTATTAGAATCATCAGATCTGGGATCCAATGAATCTGAGTGCATGTGTTCAGTATCTTGTTCTATAATTTTATTGCCTGACTAGACAAATAGATAAGGTCAATTCTTTTTCGTCTATTGCTTTCTGAAAAAAAAAAAAACCAACCCCACAGCCTTGTCATGTGCGTTCTACCTGAAACATCTGAGTTCATCTCTTAAGTTTTGCTATGTTGACTGGCATAGTTAGATTTTACTTTGGGCAATTATTTTTTAATTAGTGTAGACTGGTACAAAATATATTTCCGTGTGTCAGTTCTAGAAAACTGTTTTTAGGAGATGAAACAAAGACGACCGTTTTTGTTGCCAAACGGTTTGCTTCATATGGTCTTAAAAAACAAAATATGAGTGTTATTGATGACAGTAGAAGGGAAACTAATTTAAAACTGAATTGTAGTGTGACATTAGGTAAGTCAAAAGGGATGTAGTGGAAGAAAGGGTTTTCTGAGTGAAAAGCAGTGTATTGGAAAGTAAAAGAAATGTGTCGATCCATGTTGTTTGTCACTTCAGCACAGAATAAAGCTTTCAGTGCTCCTCCAATTTATTTTTATGCTTGAATTTGTATTGATGTGAGGGTCTAGTGGCTTAATTCACAGAAAATAAGAGCTCAGTGATAGGGCAAAGAGAAGAGAATGCTGAATATGTACAAGGAGCTCCATTTGCATACAAATTAGGGTAAGAAGTTAAAGTTCAGAGCCAGTTATCTTACTGGATAGATGATATGTTTATCTACATAATATTTTGTTTCATGGAACTTGTAATCTTTAGAACTTTAAACTGTGAACTTTACAGTAAGATGTGTTGCAAATTCTTCCTGAAGGCAACTTGAGTAGTTTTATTTAAAATGTCATCCATCATTTAAAAATAAACAAGCATATGGTTATTCCCAGTTTAGTTGCTCTACTTTTAGTGGACTCTTTGAACTAGCTAGTGATGTGTGTTTTTTAAAATACCTTTATTCAAGGTAGTAAAGGCAAGTAAAACCATATCTGTTAAGCTTACTATGGTACTAAGCAAAAGATAATGCTTAGTCATCCATTAATAATGGACTGACATAACTAAGCAGTTAATACAGTGTTGTCTGCTTACTTGTTCCTTAGGGTCTACTAAGGATCTACAGAGTAAGAAAGGGTCTACTTTGAGTGTCTACTGAGTGGAAACTGACAGTACTGAGTGAGTTAGTACTAAGTACTAAGTTTGTCTACTAAGTTGAAACTTAAGTGTCTACTAAGCAAGCACTAAGTAGTAACTAAGTTTGCTTTAACTAGTAGAGAAACAATACAGTTCTGGTATCTTTCCCCTCTTCATTTTAGAATATGATGGACAGCATGGATGGGAAGTATCTTTTTGGAAATAGTATTGTAATTCAGCCAACATTCCTTCAAGAACATGTGTTCTGAGTGACTTCTTTGCTGTGTCTACTGTCTCAACAGGATTGATATGTCAACAATTCATACTGGTTCATCTACATGATCTGTATAATAAACTGATTAATTTCCCTGTTAGTCATGTAAATAAACCTAACCTTACTAAAATATATTTAGTTTAATATGGTGATTTAAACTAACTAAAATGGGATTTTAACAAAGGTTTGAAGTGGCTTAAATGCTCTATACAATAGTTTTACACTGTCTTGACTAGACCTAATTAAGCTACTGCAGCTGTTCTGTGTACCTATATTTCATGCTTTTGCTTCTTTGAGCCTTCAGTGTGCTAAATGGCTGAGAATGGGATGAGTAGTCCAACCTTTTGACTACTGGGGAATCTTTTGAGTTGTAGGGTTTTAATACCTCTAGCTCTGTGTCTCAGTGAAGTTCCAGCATTAAAATACTTCTGCTAGATGGTAATTTTATAAACAGGTAGTGGTTTTCAGCATCGTAAAATTAAAAATTATCAATGAAGCAATTTTTTTCCTTGAGATGGTGATAGCTTAACAGATTTGTGGTTTTGAAATGTATCAACAATGTTTGAATTCTAAAGGCTGGATTTCCCTTTTACAAAGAAGGGGGGAAATCACAAATTTGAAAGCAGATCTTCTGATCATCTGTCTTCCTCTTAGCTACAAGAGCAACACATAGTCAAAATCTAATCACCTTATTGTAGTAGAGAAATCTGTCCTTGCTTCCTGTGTTATAACAGCAAACCTATGTTTGGTGGGAACAAAAAAGAAAGCTACTTATGTTGCCTTCTTACCACTCTAAAATCTCCTCAAGTACTGTCATACCCTCTCTTAAAGGTTAAGTTTTATGCATGTCTTTTGCTCTAAGGCTCTTTCTAAATTATCCTTCTTTGTAAATTATTGAAGGAATAAATTGCTTTGTTAGAAGGATTACAGATTTTTGGGTAGCTTTTTTGTTTATCTACACTTGTGTGGAAAAAAACCCTAATAACAACAAAACAAACCCCCAAAACAACCAACCAACCCCCCCAAAACAACAATCACTTGTAATAGTGATGTGTTAAAAATTGAAGTTTACATACAGAAGTGTGTCTCCACTGAACAGTAATTTGCATGTTTATAAACAACAGAAAGGTAGCGTTTTGATGATCACCAACTTTTTGATGATAATTCCAGTCATAAATATTTCTGGTATAAATCTACAAATGACAAATCTTTTTTAAATTCACATGCAATAATATCTTTCCTCAGCAGGGTATATTTCAACTGGTTAATATAGATGTTTAGAAACAGGTTTGAATGCAGTTTTTTGCACTGAACTTTGCCTTTTACCCAATGAAAAAAGTGTGTATCTCTTTGAACAAATATGCATTTGTGTATATATACACACTTATGTATATATTTATGTAAAAAACCCTGATGTGTATATATACACAATTGTAGATCTTAATAATTTTCATGATCCAAATACCAGGTTATTTAAAAGAAGTATGTGTTGTAATATTCTGATTTATTTAACTCTGTAGCTTGTTCAGCTTGTGTTTAGCTGAAAATTAGAATTAAGTTGAATGTACAGAAGAAGTACAATTGCTTAAGTTTAGATATAAACTTTTGTCTTTACGAAGCAGATGTATTTTAACCTTAAATACAGATGATTGCTTAGATTCCTATTGCAAACGTGCTTAAGCAGGTTAGCTGTCTACATTTGTTTGACTACAGATTTAGATATTTATGAAAACTATACAATGTGCCAAGGTGCCTTCAGGGGGAAAAAAAAAATTGATGCCATGTCCATTTTGTTAAATCAGTGCATCTTCTCTGCAATCTGGTTATCCTTTTTCAAGTCTCTCTGCTTTTTCATCTCTTAGTGACTTGCTACATTTTGAGTTAAATGGACTCTATCTGTTAGCTAAACTAAGTTGAAGCAAAGGCTTTCCAGCATACCACCAACTGCAAGTACTTAAATGGAAGCATCAGTGTTAAGTCAGTTGTGAAGACTGAAAACAGCATGTATCCAATATTGTGATATGCTTAGTCTGAGATCAGGTTCTGCATGCGACTACTATTTGTTGTTCATGCTGTTTATTTTTCCTTTTTTGTATAATGCTTTAGACATACAAATATAGTATAATCTGTTATTAAATAAACAGTTCATGCAAGTCAAAGTATGGCTATAGGAATTGGTTACTCTGATTGAAGTAACATCGTGGGTTTTCAATGTCAACAAGACTTCTGTTCTTCTGGAATTCATATGTTTAGCTCTTCCTTTTTAATTCTTCCTGGGAGTTTGTCTTAAGCTAAAGACAGCTAACTACATCTGTGGGGAACATGATCCCAAGCTAGTTCTTGACAACCTTGAAACAACCTTATGCACTAGGTTGTTTCTGGTTTGTGGATCAAATGGCTACAGTCACATGTCAAACAAGGATTGGATTTTAAAGGTTGTGTTTTCATTAGAACATTTCAATTAGAAGCATTGCATATATAATAAGTAGTTACTGCATATGTGCAGACACTGACATCTTAGAATTATGTATAGGTTTTCCCTGCAAATTTCACTATTGCTCCTTTATCTTTTTTGCCTCTGTATGGAAGCAGAGGGGATGCAAAAGAGTACCTGACTCCAGAAACTGCCAGTTTTCCAGTTTCTTGATGCTTATTTTTTGTAAGTGTATTTTACCTTTTTGCTTTCCCTTTCAGAGTAGATTTTCACTCACTTTGTACTTTTACAAGTTAGTGGTTTTAAATTGCTTTGAATACCTGAACGTTTTTTTAAAGCACTAAGTGTATTCCATAACATCAGAGGCTTAAACTTCAACTGGATGGCTGGAAACATAGTCCAGGAAACCTCTGGGAGCTATTGGTAGGGGTGGGTAAGAAAGTAAAAATGGTCAGTAGGACAGTATGTATTTGAATTCATAGTTCAGGCCTGCATTTGGTTTCTGTAAAGACTTCAGTTGCCTGAAAGTTGGTTGTAGTAGTTAAATCTAACTCTCACAAGGTAAACAAGGTGATCTCAGGTGATTTTAAATCAATGAGTTTCAAAAGCAAACAGAAGTAAATAGCAAATTTGTGCTGTGATGTAGAGTAGGTGCTTAGAAGGAAGCTGTTGAAGTAATGCATTTCTGGATATTTCTCCCATGTCAAATATTAAAGAGATTTCATGTGCTATTTGTAGAAGTTAATGCTATGAATTTTAAAGCTATTTATTGCTTAATTTGTTTTAATCTTTAACATTGTGATAGTTGCTTCCACATTTTTTTGGTTTGTAAAATGTTGTCTGCTTAGTCTTAGATCATTCTGTACCCCTGACAGTTTTTAACTGGAAACATTAAACTGATATGGCTGTTTGGACCAGCTTCAGCCCACTTAACATGATGTTGTGGGCCACACTTTTGATAACTGTTGTTCTAAGAGATGCCATTCTAGTTGTTCATCAGTATAAAAAAAATACAGAATAAATGCACAAGCTGTACTTACAGTGTTTCTCATTCATTTCTGTTTTATTTGTGCATTGCAGTAGAATGCTGTGACACCAGTGAAGACATTCCAGGCTAAAGGCAGAATTGCTTCTCTGAGAGCTGCTGAAATTGCATTATAATACTTTTGAGTCACTTCTATCTTTTTTTTTCTTTTTAACATTAATTTTCCATTTTTATTGAAATATTTTGAAGGACTTGAAACGTTCATTACCAGTTGGACTTGGACTTTCTGAAACCAAAATAACATCTCATGGCTTTGACAGCACCAAAGAGGGAGTCATTGAGGCAGGACCATTTCCAGGTAAAGGTAACTGCTTTTTTGTGTCTTTATTTCTCAGTTTTAAATATCTGTGCATATTTTTGTATGGTCAGGAACACAATGTCCTGTAGCCGCTTTGAGCATTTTGGTGTAAATGTACACATTGAAATGTGCATTAGTGGCAACCTGTTTATCTTCTCTGAGTTGTTAAAATAGAGAATATATGCTACACTTGTATCTGTCAAAGGACTAGTGGAGACTAGTGGTAAATTGGTCTGCATTCACAGGAAAGGAGGTCCTTGAGCACCTTGAAATGATGTCAAACTGAGGAATTTTACTATTAAATTTCATTGAAGTTTTCTTTAACTGTTGCAGGTATCATTCTGATTTGAAACATAAGGGAAGAGTTATTTAGTTCTTGATACACAGTTCACTTACCTGGAGCAGATGAATGAGTGGAATTCTTCTTTGCCTCTGAGACTTGTGCACTATAACAAAAAAGGAGACATATATTACTTTAATGTATTGTTAAGGATGATAATGCTTTGAGTCTCTCTTTCCTAGTACTATCTAATGAAACAGTGTCCACATATTTTCTCAGCACAGAGTTGTGGTTGTTTATAGCATGAGGATTTTAGTTAATATTTAATTCACTATGCAAATATTAATGTATGCTTTCAAGAATCTAAGCTAGTATTATATAATGAGAAATACGAAGTGATAAACAAGCCAGTATTGTCAGTGTTTCCCAACTAAGAACAAGAGTGTGCCGCGATATAGTATGTGAAAGTATTATTTTAATGAATAGCTTCGACAGCTTCTGAATTTGAAAGGTTTGAAATGATCAGCTGTGAAAATAAGTCTCTTTGTAGTCATAGATTTAATTTACATTTTGCTTCGCTTCCTGTTTGGTAAAATTCTCTGCTTATGAAAACAGTGATTCACATGCTGTACTTTACATATATTACAAAGTAAATGCTGTGGTTTCTTTAAGCCTTTGAAATTGTCAAAATATCTAGGTAAAACCAGGCAGATGGCAAACTGCTCACTGTTCTTGGGGTTTTGTATTCTATTAGCAGGATAACTGTTGCAGAGGGTAAGTGCATTAGCTGTTAAGGGAAGAAGTGTCATAAGATGTGTTTCAAGCTACAGTAATATGTTTGAAATACAAGTGTTCTGTGGAAAGTTATGTACACAAATGATGAGCTTTGGACATGTAATTTTTAACACTTCAAATATCACAGTTTTTCTATATTTTCTTTAGATTTTTTGTAATTCTTTAAATCTGGGGGAGAGAGAGAAATAGTAGAAACTAAGGCTTCTCATGAAACTATGGACAGAAGTAGAACGATTGCCCTATTACTTAATATTGTGTCTTCTGAGTGTCCTTATTAGGGCTTCATTTTTGAATGCAAAGTAGACAATACTGGAGGGGAAGAGCTTTTAGGATTTGGGAGGATGTTGAATGATGAAGCATGCATAAGGCTGCATTAATACTCTGTCAAATGATAAGGATTTTTTAAACTGCTTGTCTTGGCTCGCTTGCTGAAGTGATTCAGTCTTTAGGCCTTTAGCAGGATCTTGCAGTCAGAGTTTTATGCCTGGATGAATCCAGTTGCAGCTCTTATGCAATGTATCGCTACACAAGGACACAACAAGTGAGCTATCTTTTAATATCATCTTTTCTGTGCAGTTGAATCCAAATCATTGGATTTGCATATGCTGTGTTAGTAGTGCTCTGTAGTATGTTTAAAAGGCAAGAGCTGATTGTTGATTCAGTTACACTAAGTGGTATTTTTGGTGTTGCTGGTAACTGAATTCAGTTGAAACTGCTAGACTTTAGGTTTGATTTCCCTTCCCCCCAGCACAGTCAGCCCTTGAAGTATCTTGGAATTTCTCAGCAAAAACAATAAAAGTCATCCCTGCCATATGATCTTTACTCATCATTACAGAGAGATAGCTAATTTGGTTTTTAAATCCTGAAAATTTCATAAGAATGCCACTTCACATCTGTGTGGTATGAAAGAGTTGCAAAGCTCTGAAAATCATAATCCTAAACCAGTTTGGAGAACGTACATGGTGCAGGTAACTTGAAGTTGGGCTTGTTTTGTTTTGGGGTTTTTTTTCTTTTAAAGAGAGCAAGCAAGTGCTGTAAAATCTTTCTTTCGGAAAGGAGATTACACACTTTAACAGCTAATAGCTCGTATGATCTTCAGAATAGCTAATTGCTGTGTGTTTACACAGATGTAGAAGCAGATGTTAATCGGGTATATCTGAAATTTTACTTCACCCCTTAATGCTGTGAGTACCATTCAGTGATAGTGCAGAGTGAAATCTACCTAGATCTCAAGAAGTTTTCAGTAGTGGAATCTGTATATAACAATCTTCTGTGGAATTTTTGGTTGATAGTATATACTTTAGTGAAGCTCTTAGTTGTATTTACTCTCACAAAAAAGTTTGGCATCATGACATAGAGAAAAAGATTAAATCATGAAAACTTGGAGTAGTTCATATGAACAGCTGCACCTCTTAAAAAGCATTTCCATCAGAAATTCCAGCAACTTTTCTGTGAATGCTTCTATTTATTGTGTTGCTGAAGCAAATGTTTCTTTGTTTTGGAGAAAAAGTGCACATTGTCTTCTAAGGGGAGGTGATGGATTTTCATGGTTAAATATGTCCCCTTTTCAGGTTCCTCAGCATCACCCAAATCATCTGTTATATCTCCTAGCAGTGCAGCAGCTAGCAGACTGGCTGGACAAGGTTGTGATTTAATTATTCCCACAGGTACCATAGCATTGAATGGATAACGCCCTTGTCTCTGCTGACACTGTACTAACTCCTCCGTGTCTCTAATAATTTGATTTACTGTTAGTTGGAAATACAACTTCTGGGGTTTTTTGGTGGCTTGCATTTCTGTCTTTTAATGGTTCACAAAAGTAACCTCCGCTTCCCTTTCTGTATGCTGCTTTTTGCTCCATAGAATTTAAAAAAATAATTACTAAATATCAATAATAACGAAGAGTAGCTAAAATGGGAGTATCCAAAATCTTTTGTTTAGGTTAAAACTGAAATTTTTGAGATTTTTTGCCAAAATGATCATGTATTCCAGTAGAATAGAGTATGAGGTGGCCATTAGGAATTCACAACACCCAAACTGGGCTTTGCCACTTGACTCATTTTTTGCCTGTGGGCAAATTACTTAACATCTTTGTCTGTTTCCTCCTATATAAAAGGAGAAAACCTATTCAGTTACCTCATAAGGGTGTTGAGAGGATTAATTACTTAACGTTTGCACAGTGTTTTGAAGACATAAAGAACATAGTAGAGCTTGATGCTAAAGGAGTATCTTGAGGCATCTGTATGGACTTTTTTCCAAACTCTTATTTATATAAATAACTTGGCAAGTCTAAGGTGACTGTAAGTAGCAGCAGGGATTAGAGGTGGTCTGAATTGTACGTGAGTAAATAAAAATGTTGCTTAAAAAGTAATAGTGCTTTGCAGTTCTTACTATTTATGACACTAGGACATATTTTTGCAAAATTAAAACTTAGAATCCACATGGTATCTCATACTAGCTAGAGAATGCTAAGTATTGGCAATTAATATGTGGTGATTTGCCCTAGATATTTTAATTTGTTGCTAAATGTTTTCTGTTGCTGTTTTTACACTGGTGGTTAATTAGTCCTAATACAATGAGCTAATAAAGCTGAAATAAGTTAAATATTGGCTGAACACATCTTCTGGAAAGGATGACGTTCACTGGAGAAGAAAAAATCTGTTTTGAAATCTATTAGTTGTACTCTGTGACAACAGTTTTTATATGTTGAAAATTTTCATTTAATGGTCTGCAGGTTGCAAACAAACTTTTAGATTGACTGAATCCAAGGTGTTCAACTGTTGTAATTTTAAAAGATAGATTAAGAAATAAACTATTTTAAGTTTGGTTAGTAAAATTCCTTGCATTCAGGTAAGCTTTATTCAGCTTACTACTACATGAAATACTGAGAGATATACTCACTTCATATCAGTTTAAAAATTATTCTTTATGGGATTGATTTTGAAAATCTGCAAATTCATCTGAAGTTCTAACTGTCACCTTGCTCTGCTTTTGCACGCACAAACCTTCCATTCCTTAAAACAAAAGCGAAGGCCTTGAAGATTTGCTTTGTCTCTGATGTAGGGGGCAGAGCTCAGCAGAAAAGTGGACCTGTTGTTTTAGCAGATGAAGTAAAGAATCCAGCAATGGAAAAATTGGAATTGGTGAGAAAGTGGAGCCTAAACACTTACAAGGTATGCAGGCATATATTTGTGTGTGTGTGTATGTATGTATTCTAGAAATGAGCTTGCTACTGGATTGGACTAAAGCTTTCAAAGTATTGTACTATGAAAGTAATCTGTTGTTGCAGTGAGCGTAACCAAGAATGCATAGAGAAGGCTTAATTTTCTTCCAAGTGTAGCATTCTTTGTAAGCCTTTTTAAATCCCTGGTTTTAAGTGGAAAATCTTTCATAGGCTATTATTGATTTAGTGAGGTAAAGAATGTATTCCTTTTCTAATGTCCCCTCCAACATACAGAATGCACAAGTTTCAGCACCAGTGCTTGTAATGAAATCTTTGCTATTTTTCAGTTGATTGCTGATATAATAAAATTTTATCTGATAGGAAAAAGTCAGGCCCATCTACAAGTTCCATACTTGTTAATTGCTATTCTGATGGTTTTGTTCTGTCTTGGCTGATTGCTCTTTCTTAGTGTTGGAATTGTTGCTTCAATTCATGTGTGTTTTATATGATGCTTTGTCGTCAACTGGGATTTGGTGAAATTAAAAAATAATAACAAAAGAATAAAGAAAAGGTGCTTAAAGCACACCAGATAGCCAGAAGTGACTCTCGTTAAAAAGCCTTAGGGTGAGGAGCAATTGTCAGGGATACATTACTGTTAGGAGTTTCAAAGAAAGACCAGTTTTGAAAAACAGCTTTTTGTTATGCCTGCAACTTAAATGACAGAGGTCTGGACAGGTGGGTTATGCATCAGTGGGATCTACATCTCAGACCTTGAAGAAATTAAGAATCCGTGGAAAACACTTCCCTAGTAAAACAGAGATCTGAATTCCTCTAGTGTTCTTAAGTCCAGATAAGGACTTCCTCCCCAGTGAGGATGGGAAGCAGGGATGAAGACATTCTATCCACTGGTAGATGCTTACGCTGCTGTTTGTGTTAGAATCAGAAGTTAGGCTTTTTTGGAGGAATAAGGTTGTTCAGAGAGACCTTATGAATTCATTTGGAGTTGAGGGAGTATTATGCAAATATCCCTGGAGATGCCATACATTTGAAAACACTTTATATGTCAGCTAGGTACAAAAAGCATATTTAATTTGATTAAGGACAGTATTTCAGCTTGTGGACATACTGTCTTGCTTTGGTTCCCCTGGGAACCATGGGAACCCCTGGGTCATGGGAAGAAGTCTCCTCCTTATCTTGTAATAGCTAACTTTATCATAGGTTAGAAGATGCAAGAAATAAAGGGCAGGAGTAAGTCGTTAGTGGAGGGAGATCAGCAGCTGAAATGCTATTCGATGTGCCAGACATTAATCAGCAAGTGGAGTTAGTGGTGCAACTTGCAGTTAGGAAGTTCTTTAGGAATCTGGAGTAATTTGTCATGGTGTCTGTATCAGGAGTTGTGGAATCTAAATTATTGGATATGTTCAGAAGTCATACCTATCTGTGAAGAGATGATCAAGTATGCTTCTCTATATTTTGAGTACCTTGGGGGTTTTTTGTCCAGTATGCATTTCTGAATGAGACACAGTTGCTTTTATTGTCTCCCACTTTTATTTCTGTTTTGAGAAACTCTTTACAGTTGAAAATCACAGGGGGTTAAAGCTGCTCTTTTTCTAGCCTAACCATGAATTTTTGTAGACTGCATTTAACTTTTTCCCATAATTTATAACTTGGTAAGATTATTCTGTTGCTTTTGCAACTACTGTTGCTCTTCACTCCAATCTTATGCTCACTAGTAATCATGAGTCAGCATCAAAAGAAAGTGCTCTTCTTTCCGTAATCTAGCAGCAAGAGCTTTTTCTATTCTGTGCCCTTCCCCTGCCTCCCCCTTCGGATGAGAAAGGAGTTTTCAGTTTAGCAAAAAGACATAGGCACAAGAAAGTTGTGACTCTTCTTGACTTTCAGTAATTCTGATGAAAAGTTTTATCTTTTTGTTTTTCATACAACTTCTTAAACTTTGAGGAAAAAAACCAAATGTACCTGTTTTACAAGCCTCTCTTTAATAGTAGGCTACTATTTGAGACATGTCCAGTAATGTTTGTTTGTATTTTAACATATGCAATTTAAAATACATTTCTCTAAAATGTAATTTGGTGGTTTTTCTTTGATAGTTGTTTTTCTTAAACTTTGCCTCGTGTGACTTCTTTTTGAAGAGTGTGGTCTTATTCAGGAGAGTATTCTTTTTAGATACTCTTTTAGAACAAAGCAAAATGGAACTAATGTGTGGAATTTTCTCTGTTTGCTAGTGATAATGTACAGCAACTTGTGTGTCTGTAGTAGTCTGCTTAGAACCAGAATAATTCAAAATAGATAGGTGCATCTTGTTTCTCAGTTATTCCTGTTCAGTCTTAGCGTTCAACTTTAGCCCCATCTCAGTCTAACAAAGTATGCAGTATAAGTCTTTCTAGTTACTTGTTTTTCCTCACTTGTCACTGCTGGGGTTTTTTAGGTGTTTTGCTGTAGCTTCTGAAGCAAATACTCTTTGGTTGAAAATAACTCCTTCCTTTAATTTATTCTTGCTGCCAAAAATTTTGCCTTACGTGATTCAGATTTTTCTCTTGCATTTCCACAGGGGTGTGTGTGTTTGTCTCAGCTTTTTTGGAAAACAGCTAATATTTATCGATTACTTCCATAGTTCCTAGTGAAATGCTTATTTATGTTGTGACCGCACTCATTGCTAAGCTGTATTTTGCAATTTCTGTTGCAGACTTTGGTAGTAAAGTTGTATTCTGTTTTGATATGATTTGTTATGCCCTCCCAAATTTCTCCATTCTTGACAGACAAATGTCTGCTGTGTTCTTTCTTGTTAATTGATTTGTTATGGTCTCCCAAATTTCTCATTCTTGACAGACAAATAGCTGTGCTCTTTCTTGTTAATTGGTTGAATCTAATGAAGTAGCCCAAATAGTCTGTACCTTCCAATCTAAAGGTTATGAGTTATGACCAACTTGTTCTGCTTGATCATTCTCAAGTCTTTCCAGTGTTTGTCTATTAATTTCAGAAAGGACATAAAACTTGTAGCAGGTTAAATGTGTATCTCCTTTGGATATAGTGAAGACTGGATTAAACTGAAGTCCTCTAATTTCCCAGGAAACCCTGGGAAATCCAGTGCTGTAATCTATTTGGGGAATGTGATACAAGTCGGGCTTGGGCATTATTTCACCTAGCAAAATAGCAGCTTTGCATTTAGGTTAAGTTCCTTCAGAATAGTTGTGGCCTTGACTACTAACTACATTTCCTTGTAATTCTGTTTCTAACAGTAATTCTTCATATGTGTAACTTTGTTATCTCTTCACCTCTTGGGCCCACAGATGAACTTCAAGTAACTTACTGTAACAGTTAATAATTCCCGCTTTCTGTAGAGAAATTGTATGACTTTGGTATACATCTGCTTTGCAAATGGCTTCTCCTGTGTTTCAGTCAAGGGAAACCCCAGCATACATCTTGGGACGCTCACTGCCAAGTTGGGCTCAAATCTCTGGCAGAGAAGGTGTCACAGATAAGTGGAATGTGATAGCAGCCAGAGCTGTAGCAGCCACTCGCTGGGTGAAAGTGTCTACAGCCTTGTAAGAGCACATTCTCTGTGTTAATGAACTGCAAATCTGTTAAGAATTTGACTTGTGATAGAAATCATAAGTCTTTGAGACAATCAACTCCATTTTATATATGTGTAAATAATGAGAAATACACTTTAGCAGTTTTACACATTTCTCAGTAGGAGTTTCCAGTGTCCCAGTCAGCTTCAGAAAACATAATATGCATGATCTGGAATTGGATAGTTAGTAGACAAAGCCCAAAGATAACTAGATATTTTTATGTAGTACTAGTAATACTCCCATTAACTGACTTTAATGCAGTGGTCTAAATTGCCTCTTTTAACTTAATGAGATTCACCAAACCTAAAAAGAGATAAGTGTTCTTTTACTTGAGAAACAATTAGTTATGCTCTTGATTTGTTAACTTGAATATTCATCTTGGTAGGAGTTGAGACTTGTCCAGCTGTTCTTGCTGAGTCCTGATAAACTTCTAAGGAGTGTGTTGTTTTTTCAGTTTGTTGTGCAAACTTATATTGGGAGGGGTGATTGTGAAAGAATTGTGTGTAATTATACATCCCTTGAAGCTGAAAATGGGTGTATGCTGTGTTGTCTTGAGTATACTTGATTCTTTATAATTTAATTTTTCCCCCCACAGTGTACACGTCAGATCATCTCTGAAAAATTGGGTCGTGGCTCAAGAACAGTAGATCTGGAACTAGAAGCTCAAATAGATATATTGAGAGATAACAAAAAAAAATACGAAAATATCTTGAGACTGGCACAGACGCTATCCACACAACTCTTCCAGATGGTACATACCCAAAGGCAACTTGGAGATGCATTTGCTGACCTGAGTTTGAAATCATTGGAACTTCATGTAAGACTTTTATAGTGTTAAAAAATAAAATGGCAGAGATGAAGATAAGCCTAATTGACTCGTGTGGGGAATATAGTAGTTAGCAGCTACTTCTCTAAACACTGTACTGAACAGTATATTACAAGCTCCTTGTGTTAAAAGCTTATGTAATTCACTTACAAGTATAGGAAATTATTGAAATTACTTTAGTTGTTTATTGTTTATTAAATGTTTGCCTTTAGTTGATGGTTGGACTCAAGAACCAACAACTTTCCTTTGTATAGAAAATGTATTTTACTATTAATTTTGCTTCTAATGAAATGTCATCAGAGTGTTCCAGGGTGTTAACGTCATTTCAATTACAGGATGTCTTTGGGGAATACGCCTGGGACTAAATAGAATAGGGCACATGACTTCACTTATGCACATTGAATATGAGTAAATTATTTTTCTGTAGCATATTTAAGCTTTGAGATTTCATCTCAAAGTCCTGTTTTAATCAGCATCTTGCTGCTAATAGGACTACATTATGTTGTTTGACGTTTATAAGCAAGAGAGGTAATCTTTAGATATCTGCATTTGGGTTATTATGATTCCTTGGTTTAGAAGTTTATGTAACACTAGCACTTTTTGTTGCTGATAATAAAACTGTCTGCTGTAAAGAAAAAGTGGATGTTGCATACAAAACATAGTAGCTGGCTTGCTTCTGCATTGATTGTTCTGTACTTCCGAAGTTAAAGCAGTTTCATACTGCTACTGATCCTTTGGAAAACCAGTATTAAGAGATTAACGGTTCGCTAAAACATAGCTGCTGAAAACAGCCTGAATTATCTCTGTGATTATTAAATTTAACCTCTGTCTGTTTATTTTTCCCTTTTCATGGTTGTCCATTAAGGGAGGAGGTGAAGTTCATAGATGCAGAGAGGAATCGTAACTGAAAGGTAGCTGAAAAAAATTTGAGACTCCTGCACTGGAGTACAGGAATTTTTAATATTGAAGTCTGACAGATGAAAATCTGTGCAAGTAGAGCACTTCTAGCAGCTAAGAAATTAAATAATCTGCTAAAAGACATTTGTAATAACCAGTTTACTCTTAACACAAATACAGACTGTGGTTTGTGGCAGAACTTAGTGATTGTTGTGAAGTATGTGCTGAAGCTGGATGTTTCTTCTGAAACAGAGATTAAATTTGGCATCATGCTCTTCTTTACCCCCCCCCCCCCCCCCCCCGAGTAGCTTGTAACTTCTAATGCTGTTCTTCCAGGTTCTTTCAGCATCTTGTACTGGTCTTGGAATCTGTTTCATTCATTCATCTCTTGTGTAGATTATTGAATGGGGCTGCTGATGAAAATCAAATAAAGGTTTCTGCTGCTGTAATAAAAGTTATCTAACCTTTGCCTCTTGGAGACTTGCCTGATGTTTGTCTCTTTCCTCTTGGTGTTTCCCTGTTGTTTAATTTTTACTCTGTTACTATCTGTAGCCTGGCCTATTCTTAGGTGTTTGGATAGCATTATTGCCTCTAAAACTTGTGCAAGACTAAAAGTAAAGTTTCTGAACAGTTAGTCTTTAATGTTTAATGTGATAATAGTATATGTTTAAAAATAAATCAAAACCCACACCAGTTCTTAAGGTAATATTATTTTATACATGATAACAAAATGAGATCTCAGTGTGGTATCTATAGAGGTATTACTTAATGTGAATGTTTTGCTATTTTGCTTTTGGATATAAAGATAACTGCTGGTTCCAGGCTTATGTGCCTCCAATTATATAGACAGATGAATTCCAATTTTGACCCGTGCATAGAGTATGAACTGAGTTTAAACTCTTGATACAGAAGGATTTCCTGCCTTGTTTTGTAAGAGGTATCTACAGAAGTCATGGACAAAACTCAGTTTTTATATGAAACTCTATGAACCAGTCGGTAGAAAGATAGTTTTGGTGGCTAGCATGTTTCTCAGTACTGCAGGCCACTACGGTCCCATCCTTCTTACCCCCTGCCTTTGAATTGGTAGTATTGCTCATTTGGGTTTGCAGTGATCTGGGTGGAAAACTAATTGCAGTCTTGCCTGCAGGAGGGAAAAGAGATGGGACTAAACACTGCTGAAAGGGACAGTCCTGCTGCTGTTGTCTGCCTGTATGCTCTGGATTTTTTCCCTATGCCAGCACTTGTGTTACTGTGTAGCTGGTAATGTTAGAGCAAAGCCAGCTGGAAAATACTTTTTAAAATTTCAGCTAGACCTGTAGACTGGCTGCTTTTGCCACTGAGGCAGCTGTGCAAAGCAAAGGCAACAGATTTTTAGCAGTTTTTACAGGGCTTAGCTCATGAAAAATTGCCCTAAATTCTCTTCCTTTTTTTCTTCCCCTTCAAATTGCTCACTTCCACTGCACCTCCTTTACTAGAGCATTCTTCCCTTACCATTGCCCATTACCCTTACCCTTGTGAAGTCATTAATGTTAACATGAAATATCATTTGGCTTTGGTGTTTGTGTTCTAGACAGATGAAAGGGAACTGGGAGAATGCAGCACTTCTGAGTCAGTTGTTGGCAGTGTGCAAGCCTAAGAAGACCGAGTTCCAAATATGAACGTAGTGTGTTTTACAGCCATTACAACCAGAGATTGTACTCTTTTCTGAGAACTCCCATCTGCAGAATATGAAGATGCCATATGGATGACATAAATATAATAATTGGACTTGTTTGGCATCCATGCATTCGGAAAAATCTTTTCAGCCTTGGTCAGGGCTTACACTGCTGTTAACAAAAAGACATGAACAAACATATGTCCAAATGTGACTGAAAAGCCTTGGAAATAATTTTGCCCTGTCCCTTCAAAATTTATGGCTGAGCTACACTATCATTTTTATTTGCTATCCATTATAATGCTCTGTTCTTCAGTTATTTACAGTCTATTAAACTGGGATAGATGTTGGAGTGTTTTGCAGTGCTCTTTTCCAGAATGTAAGAATAAAACTTAATAGCTAATTAATGCTGTGTGCCCTTGTGAATTTAGTTACAATACTGTATTTAATGTAGTGGTGTCTCTGTTGGCATTAAAGCATCACCTAGACAACCAGATGCTGGATTAAAACCCTGCTGAATGACAGTGTAAAGATTACATTCGCACTTTCCTTTTAAGTTACATTCAAGACTTCAAAGTGCAGAAGAATCACGTTATAAGACAGGATTTAAAATCGCATATGGTAACAAAATTGTAAACCATGGTTTGTTGATGTTAGAGAGATTTCACAAAAGCTGTGAACTGAACGATTGAAATCGTATCTGTTTAATCATAACCATACCCAAACAGAAGTGGAAAAACTGCCACATCTGTGTGTTTGTACTTTTTGTAGAGTTGGTGATGAGTTTTATGACTTTAAATGATCTACAGTTTTGTTTTCTCTGCTCTTTGTTTATAGGAGGAGTTTGGCTACAATGCAGATACGCAGAAACTTCTAGCTAAAAATGGAGAAACTCTTCTTGGGGCTATTAACTTTTTTATTGCCAGTGTGAATACATTGGTGAATAAAACAATTGAAGATACATTATTGACTGTGAAACAGTATGAAAGTGCCAGGTAGCTATTCTGTGTCTAGCTGTTTTCATTACAAACTAATCTTCAGGAAACAGACTTTGTATCAGCTAGTCCTTCTATGTGACTAACGTGTCAGATAAAAACCTTATAACACAACTGTAATATAATTAGGATTTAGTTAACTGCCTCATTCCACATACCTTCAAATGTTTTGTAAGTGTTCTGTTGTAGACTTAATTTTACTTCTTAGGTCTAGAATTAATTATAGCTATTTTTCCTACCTGCTGGGTTAAGGTGGCTTTCTAAGCAGTGTGGCAGTGCAAGATTTATCCAGCTACATTGCAATAGGTAAAAGTCTCTTTGACTAAAAAACATTTAATCTTATGCTTCTGTTAATGCCCAATATGAGCAATTCACACTTCAATTTTTATTCAGGAGTTGGAGGCTTGGTCAGAAATGGGAAAATAAAAAAAGAAATTTCTTAGTGAGTAAATAACATCTAGCAGTAGATAATGGGTTTCCTGCCCTGGAGAAGGTTACTTTTGGATATGGCATAGTACTTTAAAGCCAAGTTCCTTTCCCTGCCAGGGTTTGGACTTGTGGTCCTTTCTGATGCTTGGTTCCATTTTGACTTTCTTTCATTCACTTAATAGGTTAAAGGGGGGGGGGGGGCTGTCAAAAATTGCAAACTGCTTGAGTTTTGAGGTTCTTTCCCCCTCTTCTTCTAACTGTTCTGTTCTAATGCTTATTTATAGGCAGTATAGTAAGTTACTGTTCTGATATTTAGGTAAACTTTCAAAAAGTATAAAAGGCAGAATTAATATGAATATAACCTATAGCTTTATATTTGACACTAAAGTATTATAAAAAAAAAAAATATGCTTCTCACATTTTCCAGGTATCCCCTTGAAAATTTATGCAAAATACATCTGCTATGATTGTTCTTGTCAGCCATTTTCAGTATATGGTTCTTCCCTCCTGAAATACCTTCATTACTTTCCCTTTCTGTTCATTAAGGAAATAAAGTATTTTGCTATTTCAATAAGGCAAATAAATTACAAAGATTCTTCTCTTACATATTCAGCCCATCATTTTGCAGTGTGAAAATAAGTCACATCTTTTTCTGTGCCTCATCTTCCCTGTCCCCAATAGCACTTCAGCATTCATCTATTCCCTTCTTCTATCAACTCTATTGGCTTGTTTCCTTTTGGAAGTAAGTCATAAACTCTTTAAAGCCTGAATCATAGTGTCAATGAGAATCAAGAAGACCCCTCAATATTACTCCTTTTACCTCTGAAAATGTTGCATTTTATTTTGTGGCAGTTATACCAACTGAAAAGTTCATTTTTATAACCAGTTTTTAATGTTGATTTCTTTCCAGTTTGAGAAAGCATATTTGAAAATCCAGAAATAGGGTGGTTTGTTCCATTAAAATTGGCATCTCTCGTATGCTGATGTGCTAGGTTCCATTATTTGAAAGCTACAAAAGAAGTATGGAACGAAGAGTGAGGCTTTGGGCAGGGCTGCCCATGACATTGAAGTTATTTTTGGTTATTGTTTACCTGGTCAAGTGTTAGATGGCTGTGAACAAAGGAGCCCATGTTGCGTAAGAGGAGGAAGAAAAAAGTTTGAGGCTGTTACTGCATTTGTCTCATCCACTTGCAATAATGATTTAAATTATAAAAATAGTTTGTCTAGCAAGGATCCAGTGTTTGGTAGACTTGTATATAACACTGGAAGGCAGAAGATTAATTTAGTGATACAATCTTTAAACTACTAGTGTTCCATAGGTGCTTTTCCCCACTTACATATGCTATATGTTGATGAATAGAAAACTTAACTTAAATGAACGTTTCTTGAAAAAAAAACTACTTAATATTTTTGAAGACAAAACTAATATTCAAACTTCTGTATTAAAAAATACTTTTAAGACACTTTTTTTTTCCCCCATTAAAATTAGGAAGAAGGTATGACTGGTTAATTTTTATTCATGTAATAAAATAGTAGTCTTAATATGGAAGGATATTAAGGAGGTTTATAACTTTTCTTACTAAATGGTATACGAGGACTAGCTGGTTCAATTAAAACAATTGTCAGGTATCTGCAGGCAAGAGTCTATACTAAACATCGGTTGTGGTTTTGCTGGCAGTATTCGGGATAGATAATTTGGTGAGAACAAGAGTAAACTATAACATACTTTTCATCTGTCTTAACCTAGAAGTGGGATATATACCTTTGGTGCAGAGTTAGCTTAAATATTTACCCAGCTGTTAGTCTTACCTTTCTGTCTTTCTCTTCCCTTATCTCCTTCAGTGGTGGTATTGATCCAGAGTCTGATTCTAGGAGAAGATAGGTCCTCAGTAGAGTATAAACAATGCATCATCTTTTTGCAGCCTGTTTATCCATAAGGCAGACAAGTTCCCACAAAACTATTTGTGGAAGAACTGTAAAATTCCTCCAATTAATATATACAGAGAGGCCTAGAGCATGCTGAAAAACCCTCAAGACAGTTTGGTAGAAGTGAGCCGTTGCTTAAACATTTGCTTAAAGGGGATGTCCTGCTCTTGGTGCTTCTCTTGCTCTCAACACAAACTCTTCACTGAACTGATTTACCAGCAGAAGAATAACCTGGAAAAAAAAATTGACTAGCTTTGTCTGGGTTAGTAAGCAGAGATGTCTCAGGAAAGGCCCTGACTGCTGAAGCCAGCACAAAACAGAGGTTGGGAGCATGTGGCTGAGACAGGAACAAGAACAGGGGATGTACTTCAGGCAGCTTTATACAATGTACTAAGGGGTGGTCTTGCTTGATGAATAGGAAGAGGGTGGAAAAAACTTGCTGGGTTTCTTATTTTTTTTCCATAGTTGATTGTTTTGTTCATCTTCCATTGTGCTTGGCTCTGTATGTGAGGTCTGTTTTAAGATGCTTTACCTTTAGGTTTTTTTTTTTCCTCCTCCTGTTTCTTCTCAGGATTGAATATGATGCCTATCGAACAGACCTAGAAGAGCTGAATCTTGGCCCTCGTGATGCAAACACTCTGCCAAAGATTGAGCAATCACAACAACTGTTTCAAGTGCATAAAGAGAAATACGACAAAATGCGTAATGATGTATCTATTAAATTGAAATTTTTGGAAGAAAATAAGGTAAGATACAACTTCTGATGTTATACTTAGTTTTGTCCTCTAAGTTTCTGCTTTGCAAGAAATTTAGTTGCTAGATCTTAAAATACATCTTAATTTAAAAGCAGAGCAAGCAAAGAAAATAAGCGGAATTTTTTGAGTTCTTGCTGTATCACTGGAGCATGCACTTTTGAAGTAGGCATCCTTAAAAGTCCCTATTCAAGCTGCTCCAACTACAAATGGCATACATGATGGCAGTAAGTTTCTTGTTGATATGGGAGATTTCAAGTTTGGAAAAACATTACTTTTCCAGTTTATTGCATTTAATGGTTAAATGAATCATATAACTACTGATTTAACATTCAGTGTAATACTTGTATTTGACAACACTGTCATGGAGGATATGCACAAAGAATGTGAGAGAAAGTTAAGCTTTCTTTAAACTAATAACTTGAACTGAGAACTGCAACTTTCTATATTTAATGCCCTTAAAGTTTCTTAATTTTAAACAGGGCTCATGAATTGTTCATATGAAGTTGTTTTTTCCCCATATGTGTTTATTCCAACTGTACCATTTCATCTATACCCTCTTAATGATGGGATTCTTACCCCTCTTATTCTGTCTGCCGGGCAAAAATAGAATTGCCATAGAGAACACACTTAAACTGTGCTTTCTTTGATAAACAAGTCCTTCTAAATTGTTTCCAATTGGATGTAAAAATGATTGTCTTTCAAGATCTGATTTTTGTTCCTACTGGTAGTAAATGAGATGATTGTAATCATCTGTAGCTATATGTTTCCTAGGTCTTGGGAGGAAAATATGATCAAAACTCCCATAAAAGATATCAGTATGTCAGTTTGCCACATCTAGCAGTGGGTTAACGTTTTCAGTATGGTTAATGCATGTATTTCAAAGATCTGAATGTAGGTAACAACTGCCTTGCCTCAGAGAATATAGGAGTGGCCCCAAATGACAACAGTAGTAAATCATGCTCCTTGCATGGAAGGAGGAAATCTTAAGGGGAAATCATAGGGACAAGCTAAACCAATTAAAACCGATTATTATTCTGAATTTTTGAATATATTACATATGCAGTTGCATTAGCTACTTAGAATAAATATGGAAGACAGGGAAGAAACATGAACCGTCAACAAATGAGAAGAAGAAAAAAGTGGAGAAAATCGACAAACCTTTTGGTTTTCAAAACAATATATGCTAAAAATGTAGCTCTTGAGCAGTTACTTCATATGGGCATTTGCGTTAGGATCAGGGGGGTGGAATCATGTAGCCATGGACAGTTGATGAAACCAGATCATCAGATGATTAAAAACTGATATTGCCCTGATTTTCATTTGTTGTTCTTGCTGAACTTGTAGTTAATTAACTTTCAAATTGAAAAATTCATATGGAAATTAATTTTTTTTGAACAAGCTGAAGTTTAATCCGAATGCTGATATTTATACTTAAATTAGAAAATGCTCATAAGAACTGAGTTTTAACACTATGCTAGGTTGAAAATGGGTATACTGAAGGTGTCTTTTCTCCCCCCCCCCCCCC